TTTTTTTTTTTTTTTTTTTTTTTTTCTTTAATGCTGGTAGCTGTTGCCTTCTGGCATAGCTTTTTACAAATGTACACTTGGTTTTGATTGTGTTTTCTTTGGTCTTTAGTATCTTAAGGTTAGCGTTGCATGAGCAACATTTCCAAAGTAAAGAGACTACAGTAATACCTGATTTTGAAGTGCTGACTGGTCAGAGAGAAGGCCAGACATTTCTTTCACATGCAACTGCACTCTCATTAGATTAGAAGGCTGACAAAAGCAGGTCAAAAAAGCAAAGGGTAAAGTGAGGAGAGCGGCATTCAGCAGTCCTAATGCAGATGTTAGGTGCATATGAAGAGGAGACAAAGAAAGCACTAAAAGTTGCAGGGAGTGGGAAATAAAGGAGTGGGGAAGAAAGCAGTAATAGGTAGAATAAGAAAACCTTAATGGCTATGATTAAATGGGTATTATTTAAAAATAAGTAACAAAGAAGGAATGTTAGTGAAAGGCATAGACACTGAGGAAAGAGTGTGAACAGACTGAGCAGTTAATATGATGGATGTGTTATGGTGTACAGCCCAGTGGGGTTTAGAGGAAAAGAAGGAAGAACACGTGGTACCAAACTGTTGGTGAGAAATTTGTGGATGCCACTGATGAAAATGTTTTCTTTTAGAATATTTTTGCTGAAGTTAATTTTTGGCCAGTAGATGGTGTACTTGCACAACTAATAGTTTTCATGTTTTATGCTTGAAGATAATGCTGAGAAAGGATCTTTTTTATTCAGTTGAGAATTAGAGGTTGTTCTTACGTCTTCATTGTTTGCTTCAGGATTGACATTATTTGGGGAAAGGAGACAAATACAAGTAGCTGACATTTTGGGCAGTTTACAGCAGAAAAGGGGACGGTGGGATTAATTTGACATAACAGCCTATTTGCAATAAATAAAATCAAATGCTTCTTACTGAATGCATTTTATAGAAAATAATGTGTTATAGCTGTTGTGTTTAATATAGAAAAGTAAATATCTGGCAGAATTCCAGGTAGAAAAACACCAGCAGTTTACTAAAAGTATGATGTTTACATCTACTTGGGCCATCAAAATTAGTGAGAAATGCTGCTTTGCTGCAAGTCTTTATTCTTTATTTTGAAAGTTTAGCAATTACATCTTCTGTTCTGCATGGTTATTTTCAGTTTTACTTTGAGACATCTGTATCTGAAGCATGATGAAGCCTTAATTTTGACTGTTTAGATTATTTAAGAAACAATATTGTTATTTGTGGAATCCAGGACCTTGCTGGCATTATGCCAAAGAGATCATTGTGCCAAAGAGAGATGTAGTATTGTTTACTTAGATCAGTGTATGACAGATTCTGAGGGGTTTGGAAGAAAGGGTGAGGTTACACAGTCTGTGTTATATGGAACAGCAAAACAAAAGAAAAAAAGGGAGTAAAGCTATAAATGCATGCTTTGAAATTTGACAAAATCTGTCAATGAATCAAAGTTTACCCTTGTGATATTTGGATTATTCCAGAATCTCTGTTGTGGATTTATGGTTATTTGACAGTTTTGAACACAAATTAAATCTTTCTGAATAAGGAAATAACCTATGAGAACAAATGTTCTGTACAATGTATAGAGCTTTATAAAAAAGAAATTTAAGATAATGATTGCTTGAAATATTATTCTGTGCTGTATGCATTTTAATTGCTGTTACATTTAATTACAGTGCTTTGTAGGAGAATGACAGTGTAGGTGACTCAAGAAAAAGCATTGCACTAAGGTTCAGATTGTAAGGATCATTATTTATGTTAAGATTATAAACATTATTAAATGTATGTTCCAAGATTCTGTCTTTCTGTTGCTATAAGGTCATCTGGACTTGAGAGAAAAATTAATATTCCTGAAAAAGTTTATAATGTCAATAATAAAGCACCAGTCTCACTAGCTGCAGTTGTTAAACTGATTCATGAATTGATTATGAACACCTAAGAGTTATGATTATTTAGGAAGTTTGAGAAATGATTTTTTTTTTTATGTTATTTGAAGAGAGCTATCTTTCTTGTGAGTTGACATGAAAGTAATGCCATTTTGAGCCATTTTAGGCTGTGAATGACTAGCCTGTGAAACAGGTGAAAGAAGTTACTGTTCCTGTCAGGGAGGGAAGAGAGTTATTTTGTTTCTGATGCCATAACTTTGTTAACTTACCTGGTAAGTTACCTGTGAGTAAATTGAAGAGTGTGTGGTTCACCTGCTTTTTCTGTACAGTCTGTGTTCTAGTGAACTACCATTAGGCCTTCTATGCCAATCCCAACTGTTGTTTACATCAACCAGCAATCACTGAGGCCACAAATTAAGATGTTTACTTCTTGTATGAGATACAAGGAGCTCAAATTAATTTCCTCTGTTTCCTTTTTTTTTGTTGTTTTTTGTTTGTTTTTAATTAATTCAGAATCATTTTTGTATGGACAGATGGAGATGATGTACCTTACATCGACTGATTTAGCAACTGGGGGGGAATATAGCAACTAGGGAAATCTTCCTGGTTTCAGAAGAAGTTACAAAGAAGAGTGACTGGTTTGATGTTCATAATGGGTCATAAAATACATCTGACAAGTGCTGTCAATGGCATCTATTATTCAGTAGAGAAAAGCCAATGAAGCATGTGTAAATATTGTCTTGCCTCTCTCACCACTCTTCTTCAGTTCCTGTCTTGAAGGTATCACTTTACTTCCTTTTTCCCTCTCTTAGCTTTATTTCTCCTAATGCCTACCTTTCCCCATGTCTAAGCTGTGGGGAGCATATCTGATTACTAATACAGGAGTGATTGGTTCAGTGGAGCTTGTAGGCTAGTGGTTATTTTTGCTAAATAAATAGTACATCTCTAATGTAATACTAACTCTAACAACAGATGTACTCACATTTCCTGCTGTATTCCTTGACAGGGCACCTAACTTGATTTTAAAACAGCACTTGACATTATATGTAGAGTCTGGATTTGACCATGAAATGAATTAGGGATAGCATCTGAGTTGTAGCTTAACCTAGGGCTGCAGGAGAGCAGCAGGTATAAGCAATGCTAGAGTCCCCGAAGAGCATCAGTGACAACTTCCTGATCAAAGTTGCCTGCAAAACCTTGTACTCACAAGTAAGGAAGGACATTGCAGGTGTCAGCCTTGACTGTAGTGACCATAAGATGGTGGGGTTCAAGATCCTAAGAGAAGGTGTGAAGACACCAAGCAGAACCATAACCCTGGGTTTCAGTGTTGAAAGAGTCCTGTGGGATAAGGCCCTGCAGGGAAGAAGGGCCCAAGAAAGCTGGAGTGGTCCATCCTAATGAGCAGGAGGTCTGGCATCTGCATAGATGAGCAAGGAGTTTCTGTCAAAAAAAACATGAACAGGAAATACCAAGGACATAGAAACAGGGATGTGTAACCTGGGAGAAATAGAGAGACACTGTCCTAGTATGCAGAAATGCAATTGGGAATGTCAAAGCCTACTTGGAATTGAATCTGAGAGATGTTGAAGGCAACAAAAAGGACTTCTCTAAGTGTATTCCTGGAATTAATACTGGGTTCAGTCCTGTTTAACATCATCATTAATGATTTGGATGATGGGGCAGAGTTTGCAGATAATACAGAACTGGGAGGATTGGCTGATATGCCAGCAGGTCATGCCACTACCCAGACGGCCCCTGACAGGCTGGAGAAACAGGCTTACAGGAACTTCCTGAAGCTCAACAAAGGGAAGTGCAAAGTGTGATACCTGGTGAGGAAAAAACCCAGGTATATGGGTTAGCTCTGGGTGCTGAAGACTGGAAAGCTGCTTTCCAGAAAAGTTGTTTGTGGTCCCTAGGGGAAATCAAGCTGAACATGAGCCAGCAGTGTGCCAATGCAGCAAAATTGGCTAACAATATCCTGATCTGCTTCAGGAGGAATGCTGCCAGGAATTCGAAGGAGGTGATCATTCCCTTTTATTCATCACTGCTGAGTCCACACCTGAAGCAGTGTGCCCAGTTCTGGGCTCCCCATCTCTCCCCAGAAATACAGAGCTATTGGAGAGAGCCCGGCAAAGCGTTGATGAAGACATTGGAGCACCTCTCATGTGAGGGGGAAGACTGAGAGAGCTGTGACAATTAA